GAGTCTACCCCCCTCTGCTGGGCCTCTCAGCAGGCAGGCTAGATCACTGCTACTACACAGTTTTGCCTCAGCTTTTTTCCCGCCAAAACAGGCTGCCTCAGAGCTCCCTAATCTAGTCTCCCCAGTTGGCACGTTCTTCTACTAGCGCACCTCCCCGTGAGGTACACCTAGAAGATTACCTACGTGCTCTCAGATTGTCCCTGACTAGACCCCCCTTGCTCTGGGCACACTTGCCAAGGCTTTGCTGTACCACTGGACAACTGGACTAGTCGTATCCCACACGCTGGACACCAATCAATGTGACAAACCCAGACCTACCGGGATATGCCACAGTCTCATTAAGCTGCCACCAACCATTCCCTATAAGAAGTCACACAGACCAGGGATGGATTTTTAACAAATAAAAGAACAAGGTTTATTAAATAACACACAGGTGAATAAGATAAAGTAACGTGGCTTATTCTCATTCATACATGCATACAGTTTGGTTCACACAGAACCCTTAACTTGAAGCACAGACCCTGAACCTATCAGTTCTGGCTAACCAACAGACACCTGAACCTATCAGGTTGGTACTCTGACACACAGTAGTACCCTGTCTGACACACAGACTCCCACACCAGCTTCTTCTTCCCAGCTGCTGCTTCGTCACATCCCAGCGTCTCCTAACTTCACCACACAGGCTTCACCTATATATACAGTACAGCCCCTCCTCCTGATGTCCCGCCTTCCACTCCCCATAGGATGGAACTTTCCCTCCAAACCCATGACAGACAGGTAACATCAGTGCTGTATGTAACACCATAGGCATATTCAAAGATTCTGGTCAGATTGATACTAAAAGTATCACAAGGGAAAGGATCAAGCATCCAGTTATGTCCCCTTATTTGTGCATGGAACAGATTTGAGGAGGCCACTGCATATCTCTAAGGTAAATTAATTTCTGAGCAGGAATTTGAATCATAGGCGTGAATCCAAATTTTAAACCCATTCAACCAAGAGGAACTTACACAAAATTTCATTGGTCCATTTAGTCTACTTGTAACAGGCGGCCCTGACCTCATCTGTCCATCACAGCTGGGCAGTGAATCATCAACCAATGTGGTGATGGAGGGTGGGGCTGAAGAGGGAGGCGCTGGAAGAAAAAGGCGCATCAAGCGAGAGAGGGCGATGAGATCCGGACTGTGAGAGAGAAAGAGCTTGTTTAGAGGCCTGTGTGCCTACGTATTCAGTGAGAGAAAGTCTGTGATTGATTAAATAAGAAACAGTGATTGACATCGTGATTAGCTACTTGTGATTTTCATATTTTATTTTGTTATTTCAATAAACCTGTTTTGTTTTGAAGGAACCCTTTGTCCTTCTTAAATAGACAGTACAATTGGTGGCAGCGAGTGTGAAGTGGTGTGGTGGGCATTCTGAGAGGCCTGAGTTGGGGGTGACATCAGAGTGGCCTGCTATGTCACAATAAAATTGGTGTCCAGCAGTGGGATTCGAAGATCCAGTGAAGCCTTGAGCAGGGGTCTTTAGTCAGGGACATCTGGGTGAATGCGTGGGTAACCTTCTAGGACTTGTATCACAGGGACCGAGTCTAGTAGAAGGGTGCGGGACCTCAGATTGGGGACTAAGACAGGGAAGCTCTGTGGTGACCATTTCTGTGGAGAGAGTTGCCCACAGCAAAAGCAGATTGGCTAGCTGGTCCTGGGTTAAGAGAACTTTGAGGGGACAAAGCGGAGCCA